AGAAAGTCTTAGACGTTAGAACACAGGGAAGCGTGGTTCCTCGCACAGTACGCATACCACGTTTTGCTTGTCTTTTGTAAGTTACAGAATGCATATCAGTTTCTTCGAAAGAAGTCTTATTAAAAGTTGTATTTATATATATAAACAGTACTGCATTATGATGAACTTCAGCAGTCGACTGTTGAGACGAACTTCACAAAACATAATAACGACAGAACATGGGAACGGAAAATTCATCCGCAACATGTAATACACAAAGTTCCAGTTATGCAATAAGGTTCATGTTGTTAGTTTGAAAATCGACTGTCTAAAAACGGTCCCGGTTAAGGAGGTTTTGATTTGCGTCCGGCTCTTCTCGTCTGTCCAGAAGAGACTGACGTCGGTTGGCGATGTCCGAGAAATCACGAAACACGTCCGCCACTGCGACGTCCGATGAACTGCCGGATTCAGAAGTTTTTATCTCGTCGTTCAGCTTTGCCAGTCGCAGTAGAGTGACGATGTCAGCGTTGGCCAGTTCCGTGCCTATAGCCAGAGGCGATTCGCCAGAGCAATTAAACAGATCTTGGTTAGCACCACGTTTCAGCAGCAGACAGACGATTCTACAATAAAGTACGATTAACCAAAATGATCGTTGACAAATCTGCTAGGGTTACCCAGTGTGCCCCATTTTGACGGCAAGATGCAGCGGTGTGTCCCCGGCCAGATCTTGCTTGTTCAGATTGGCGCCGTTCAGTAACAAGTATTCGCAGCAAGAAATGCTATTCTGTAGAAAAAGCCGAACCTGGAGACATGTAATTAACGCAATCACGATATTTATGCAGTAGCATATAATGACTACCAGCTCCTGAAACATCGTTCGCAATGAGAGCGCTGCAAGTGCTCAAATACCATGGAGTCGTGGCCTGCTTAAATATCCCTCTACCCCTCCCCCCCCCACCACCACCCTATAGGCAACTAAAACGAATTGAACAGTGCAAGGCGTCATGAAATCTGGTCTTGGAGGAGTCATTCGTTATTTGATGATTTTTATTCGATCATGTTTCAAAGCTGAGAAACGATGGAGGCTAAAACCGCGGAAATTCATTACCTTAAAATATAATTTTATAGATAGGTGGCTGAATGATTCATGCTTCAGAGCAAAAACACAACATATGATAAAACACTGAGTATCGACGCGTTTCACTACGTAGACCGCAGTATTATCAGGGCTGGGCTGAGCACAAATTGCTGCTTGAAGGCATTTATATTCAACAGGCGAACAATGCTATTGCTTTCCAATTGGCAAATACTTTACCAAATGCCTTTAAACTGCCTGACATGAATGGTAACCAACAAACGCAATATAAAGCTCACAGTAAAGATGAAATCGGGTCTTTGTTATGATGACCCCATTTTGCGTATCAAATTTGTGATTGTGTCGCAGCTTTGACTAATAACTAGGAAAGACGCGTATTCATTGCATATCCGGTACTTTACTGTCAGTATATGCAAGGACTTTTTATCAGCAGTCCTAAGTTAAATAGGTCTTTATCAATTATAGACACATTGATCAAACCGAAGGAATGCCCTTCAGTTATCGCATGCTGGGCAATGCCGGAATTGCCTGCTTGTCCAAGGCGGACTTTCCTAACCGGATGTTCAACTTCCGGTTGGTCTTTCCAGTGTATACCTTATCGCATGAACCTGAACAACGTGTAACACTTCTTTCAAGTAACGGGTATGTACTTCTTAAATAAAATACTGACAATATTTTGCCAGTGTTCTAGTGGACTTTAAACTCTATGTCATTATGGTTTCTCCTGATAGGCTGAACAGTAATATTATCATTGGCGTATAGGGAACGGGGCATCTTTAAGTTCGAGCTGAGTTGCAAGTTTCTTCCTTTTTTCAAGATTCTTTAGAAACATGTGGTATCATTCTAGGCAAAAATTGATGGTACAGATTTCTTGGGCTGGTAAACGCCATATTCTTCACAACAATTCTAAGTAATCCGGGAAGTACACATGATGCCGGATGTATGATTGACTGGAGTGTGCTAGATTGTGATATATGGAAACCTCAAATTCAAGTCTTGGCGTCCTCTTCACCAGCACGTCCAGAAAGGACATATAGTGGTTCAATTTCGCTTCAGTGGTAAAACGTATTCGCTACTGGCTTGTCGTCCATTGATGCAATCCACGAATCTTTCTAACATTTTCTGTTCGTCCTTAATTCGTTGGAATAATAGAAAAATGTCATCAACGAATCAGACATGGAACAGTGGCCCAGAATTCTGGCGGGTATTCACTTACGCTGGTGCAAATTTGCATGCACATTTTAAGGTTGGATTAGATGATATCGTGCGAAAATGCGGACCCCATAAATTAAGAGCTTCATAATTTTACAGATCTGGCCATGAAATTCGATCTTTAAAAGTCATACCGCAATCACAGCTTCGTGCAGTGCACTTCTGCACCCATTTCTGATGCCGCAATAGTCGACGTCAGCACCGTGCGCGATCTGCTTCGCCATGGACAGCAGATCGTTGCTGCGTACGGCCGACAACAGCAACTCTGAGCAGTGTAGCACTCGTGTGTAGAGTTGAAGCACGAGGTCATCAAGAGATTCTGAAACGCAAGTTTCCAGTACAGCCAAAAGCCTCGACAGATAACCAACGTTACCAGTAGTGCGCGAAGAGTGAAACGCTTCTGGCATACATCGTCGCAGCGGAAGTTTAACTGAGTGACCAAATTCCACGGCCCCGCGATACGCCACGCAGGAGCTTTCACTATGTAAAACGTCCCTTAAGCTCGGGTAGCTGCAAGACCGCTTCAGCGTGCTCAGTTTCGCATATCTCACCATCGAAGAAGATACTTAAATACAATGCAAACTCATGCTGCATTACGAAATGCACAAAAAAGTGCTTACCAACGGAAAACTTTCCGTAGAACCTACTGTCAAACACAGCTAGCAGGCGAAATTGTCGGTGTATGTCGTTCAAAGGTCTGAGAAAGTGACGCTTCACATATTTGGCGACGATCCAAGCTTTCCTATCTGCTCTGCAAACGAAAAAAATTACGAGATTATGTTAGTCAGCCAATCACTTTTATTAGCTAGAGCAACTAAAGTGATATCAATACAAAATGGCATTCTATGAACTTGGAATCGTACATGGGGCAGCAGAAAATAAAAGGCAAAAAATAAAAACCATACAAAACAAATCCGTCTGCACCTCTCATGTTCCCTTCAGCCGAGCTATTTATAATCAGCAGTTTGTCTGCATCATTCAGCTGCCTGAGAATCCTGGCGAAAAATCGCATGCATGACAGGAGGCATAGCTCTGCACGAACAGGGGTAAAAGCTACAGTTTCTAATCAATTATTTTCTCACTATGTTTAAATTTGAGTAGAGGGTGTGCAAAAAGTGCCACCAGATATGCAGATATCTGTGCTGATAGAGAAAAAGACAAAACATCACCGTAGGCTCATAAGACCACTAGACTGCGAGACCCACTACTTAATGTCATGTTTTATAGCCTTTCCATACTAGATGACTAAATAACACTACAAGTTATAAAACAAAAATTTATCGAAACAGAACCAGTCAAAAATAAGTAAATAGCATTACTTTAAAATAGATAAGTTTAGCGATAAATTTATTCTTTGCCAGTACCTGTTACAGTCTGGTGTCGCTGGCCGCGGAAAACAAACGGCCGAGGGCAATGCGCAGTATATGCCGTTCATTTGTACGTTGCCCAGTGATGTCATAACTCGGACGTGTTCAGGCTCCCAGTCATCCAGCAGCAGCGAGCGTACCTTGGAAACTTGCACGCTTAAACTTCTAAAACCGAACAATTACAACGTCAAATCAGTTGAACAAGAAAATTCAGAAGCTGAACAACCACAAAAACACCCACCTAGAGACAGCTCTGAGATACAAAGAACGTAGACTCCCCATGCCATATCAGCATTTGGAAAACAATCTTCCACATATAAATTAATCAAAGGAAATCCTGACTTTTGGAATCAAGGTTAGATTCATTTTCAGGGGTATTATGTAAAGACAAGTGTAAAACTGGTGTCAGCAGCGTCACTGGTAAATGTATGAGATGGATCTATGTGCTGTATGTGATGACCAATTTAAATGGCCTCTGGTGTATCAGAGAGCAATGCTGGTCCAATAATCTCATGCAAAGATATTGGATGCAATGATATCATTGCTGATACTGCTTTTACACGTGCTGTGACACAATGCCAGCGAACAAGGATATTGCGTTTAGTACCCTTAGATTAAGGAATGAGTAAGGCAAGCATCAATATCTCATATTCGTTTCCTCACCGTCGTGGATATCAGAGCTGTCAAAGGATATCAGAAAGGTATTTCATTCACGGAATGCAAATTTAAATGTTTTGGTAACATAATTTGCAGTGATATATTTTGCAACATTTCATACATGAAACATCCATCAAACCGACTTTTTAGAGGGAGCAAAACAAACAGTTTACAATAAGCAACTCAATTCGTCCCATCACTCTACACGGGACTATTGCATCATCTTTAGTCTCTGATAAACAAATAGCCATTTAAGATGCCCACAGCTCTATGGTTGTTCATCATTTGCAGTGCATAGACGCATTTCGTGCCACTTTATCAGTCACAGCCTTATCCGGTTAATACGCATCAACGATGCATAAAAAACCGGTACGGGTAATACGCAGTCATACAGTATCAACAACATGGCAAACTAATTCAGCTAAAACATTATGCATGTAATGGACAACAGCGACAACTGAGACGGCAGCATTTTGTACAGTTCTGATTCTCGACTTACGCCAATGAAAATGATACTGAACAATCGTCTGACGGTGTTTAGCAAACGAAGTGAAATAAAACAATGATTTGCATCCAAGCAACGGGAACTATGGACACTACTCGGCTTGCTGTAGGCTCGCGGCAATGGGAAAAGTGCCTGATGCTGCTCTTCGCGCAACTCAAAACGAATAACGAGTTTCATATGTTAATGAAGGAATAGGAGAACAGCCGTAGCGGGAACAACTTTCACCTTTTCCAACCGTTCATTCAAAATTGAATGTGGTTCAGGTTAACCTGTCTGCACAAGAAATACCGCCATCGGCATCATCTTCCTCTGCTAATCGGGGGTGTAGAAGCACAAC